AAAATTGAGAGAGAGATACTGGCAAAGTGAATGCAAACAAACATAAGAAGGAACAAAACCCCTATGTTCCATATATTGTTGCACTGATGACATAGTGTAAGAAAAAAACCACAGCAGCTATAACTTCTTGTATAGGGGACAACATTAAACTTTTGATGAAATTCCAATATTGTGGGCATAATTCTGTGAAACTTGCAAGAGTAGATGTTATAATGAAGACGTAGTAATTTATTAGTAGAACAGGAAACTTACAATGCATACTTTTTATAAATCCTGTCTTGTGTTACCATTAAAAGCCACCCAAAGCAAATATTTGCCTCTCTTTTGGTGGAGGAGGAGGAAGGTAGTATCTTTCTTCTTAATTTTGCTAGATGTCTACTTAGCTGTACACAGAAAGGTAATATAAATTAGGGAGGCAGTAAGTACAGTAATTAATTTATTTCTATCAATTTATATCAGCGACTTTAAGGTGTGTGGAATTCTGGGAGTTAGAGTCCACACATCTTAAAGTTGCTGGGGTTCAGAAACACTGATTTATATGACTGCCCATCTCACAATAGCAACTCTGGCTGGCTAACAGAAAGTTAAAACTCAATTAAAAAAAACGCCACCACCAACAATAAAAATAATTATACATATAGTGCTAGTCAAGGACAACAGTTATTACAAATAACATCCATCTCATGGGCCCCATTAACCTCCCAACCCCAGGAAAACAACTGTGTTTTTAAGGCTTTCTGAGAAGCCAGCAGAGTCAGTGCCAGATGGATCTCAGGGGCATGGTGTTCCAGAGGGCAGGTCAGGGTCAGACAGATCTCAGGGGGTATGGTCCTCAGACGGCAGGTACTGCATCAGAAAACATCCACTTCCTAGGTCCCGCCAGATGACCTAGGAAACGTATGTGGTGACTTTCGTCAAAGAGAGAGTGAGTGGCTCAATCTACTTCCAGTGCTATTGTTATGGGGATAAAACAAACTGAACGGAGCTCCCCATATAAGCTGTCTTAAGCTTGTGGAGAAAAGGCATGATACAAATCCAATAAATATCGACTTCTTAAAACATTTTTATCTCAGTCTTTGGTCTAACTAGGTGGCAACACTTTAGATGACCTGGCTAATCTCAACAATTTAAGCAAGGTTAGATGGGAGGACCTAGGAGACAGCCATGCCAAAGAAACCTAGGTCTATAAACTAGACTGGGAAGTCAAAAAGTCATCCCAGAAGAATGCTGTGATGAACCATTTCTGTTGCCAGAAAGATATCTGGATGTGTCCATTAGCCCACTGGGCATTAAGTTGCATTGAGGGAATTGGACCTCACTCCACTTCTCAATCCAGAGGTGTTCCAGAGTAGCTTTTGTACAACCATTAAAACCAGGGAGTCCCTGTCTCCTAGTTTCCAGTTTAAAGGTATAATGGATAAGGAAAATGGATGAACAGGGAAGGGAAGGGAAAAGCTGTTTCAGGCACTAGTTCTTCAAGCTGAATAATAGTTCACACCAGGACCAACTGGGATGGAAACTGTTCGAAGAAGCAAGGACCCTGAGGAGCTGTCCTTTTACTAGCGTAGCTAGAGTGGCGCTCCTTCCTTCTCACTTTTCTGTAGCCTGCATGGGTGTCTGCAGAGGGGGAGGAGGTTAAAAAGCCCACCACATGGCAAGTGCTAGATCACAATAGAAACCCCACCTCTTTTGTACTTCACTCACAATGCCACACTGGCAGATTTGATCTTCCCCCAGGAGACCCTACTGGTAGCCTGATAGATTAGTTGCAGTCAGGGAGCAGTAGCTTCTTGGTCACAAAATCCTGTTTTTACATGTGGCAGCCTAAAAAACTCTTTTAGGAACAACATACATAATTGGAAATAAACAAATGGATGGACTTCTTGCCAAATCCACTTTTCCCAAATTAGCATCCTGCAACCAAGAGATTCATTGTCCAGAAGTGCTTATCTATAATTCAACAGTCTACAATTGCTGGATAAAATTTGGAAGCACATTCAATCAGATGGTGCAATTTAATTTTTTGAGACAGAATAAATGTTGTAATTACAACTGTCCTCTGTAGTCTCTCTAAAAGTGGCAACAAAAGTGGAACTGGGAGTTAGGACTTGTTTCTCATCCTGATTTTTGCCATTTGAAGTCCAATGCATCTGGGGTCACCTGTTAGGGCAAGTGTAACAAATAAATGGAGAGTGAATCGGAGTTGAGTTACAGAGGTATTCAGCTCACTGAGAGCTAATAATGAGGGATGGTCCAAAGATTGGTCCTAAAGAAATGAGAGGGTGATTGAAAAGTCCAGTCAGCCAACTAGAAGTCCACTACAGGATTAAGCACAGAGAAGGCTAAGATTAGGAACTGGGAATTAGGATTTGGGCAATAACATACCTGATACAGAAACTCTTTCAGCTCTTCACTGTTTTCAAATGTTTATACTTCCTCTTACCTCTCTGTGGCCCAATCAGCTATTAAGAGCAACTCAAAATCAAGTCCAACCTCTTAAATTTTTATCCCCACTTCTTTATCACCAAACCTTTCTACTTTTCAGGTAATGATACTAAACATCTACCGTTCATGATCTGGTCTCTGTGTTCAGAAAAATATGATTAGCCAGGCACATCAACTACTCCCCCACTATCACTTCCCCCCACTCTTTATTTAATTTGTATCTGGCAGCCAGAAGATATTTGTGAATGTTAGGGTTTAGAATATAGCTGTTCGATGTTTCCGAGAGCATTCAGCCACGTGGGTGGCTGCTACACAGTGTGGTCTCTGTTTTCCCTGACTGAAATGCTTAATGAGGGCCATTACAAGGATTGAGGCATGCAGAGACTGGAAATTATAAGGAAGGATAAACAAGTGTTTTACCACCAGAAAGACATCTTCTCCCACAGGGAAAATACCAAATCTGGCTTCTTCCCATCACTGAGATCATTACAGGGAATATTTCCATATGATCTGTCGAACAAGAAAGATATTATAATCCTTTCTGTGAACTTTCTGTTGAGGGCAGTGTTAAATGAAGACGATACTAGGCATGCAGTGAAAGATGGATTTTCTGCTTTAACTTTTCCACTATATCAGTTGACTCAATTACTATTATTGTTATTATTTTATTTTTGGCCAACTATGAGAATTTTGCATTTAAAGTAGTAACAGTGGGCTTGTGTGACAGGGAAACAAAGTGGCTTGCATACTTGGGCCACGATCCAGATTTCTCTGCAAACTATACTTTGGAGCTCCAGTGTGGTTTTACTTCCTTCATCCTTCTCCAGCACAACCAAAGGCTGGAACCTTTTGCCTCTGTTTTAGATCACCTGCAGTTTACTAAGTCATCCAGCCCAAAAGATGGTTCATCTGATTCATGGCTAGTGGACAAGAAGCTAAGACGTTCTTCATCCATACTTGTTTTCTTTGCCTATAAGATTAAACAAAGCTCAGTTCCTCATATTTCTAATCTTAACCTTGTTTCCCCCTATTTCAGTATCAATTTGCAGTTATTTTTAAATCTAAGCCTGTAAAAATTCTGGGGTTTTTTTTACACATTTTTCTGAATGTGCTTTGTATTCAAATTTGTCTAGTATACACATGTTTGAAAGCAATTGTCCTGAACATAATTGGTCCTTATATACTATTTTCACTAGCATGGACATTTATATGGGCACCATATTTCCCTAATATCTATGTATCAAAATATAGACACCTTGTGCTGAAAATTAAATTCATTTCACTTGGATATTAATGAAAGTTGGGCTTAGCTACAATAGGAACCCCTCATGTTATAGCAGAACCAAAAGAGGAGGGTGGGGAAGAAGAAATGGTTAGCAACTGATTTTTTGTTTGTTTGTTTGTTCTAGAATCCAGGAGTTTGCTTTGACTAATAGTAATAATTGCCCTTTTTCTTTCCAGAGCTCTCCCTGCCATGATGCAATGGGTCCGGGCTCAGACACCAGGTGAAAGTGGTATCAACATTGTCACCGCAGACTTTGTAGAACTTGGCGACTTTATCAGCACAGTCATAAAACTCAACTACATCTTGGATGAAGGTGAAGCCGATACAACCTGATAGTACTGTAATGTGTCCAACATGTTCCACAGTTGAACTTTTTTTCCAGTTGTGTTAGGTTAGGTTGTAATCTTGTAACCACAGATTTTGCAAGCACATGCTGAACATTATCATTTTCTTTTGAAAGTGTCGAGGAATTGGAAAGAATAGGCAAAAAGAGGACATTTTTGTAAGTTCTAATAATTTCCTGACATGGATGCAATTGTGTTTCTTGAAACCCAGTCAGGTTTCATTATTCAAGTTATCGTAACTGAGAAAGCCATTAATAAATATTTCGCCAGCAACCAGTGTTTTGGGCCATAAGGATGATAATTGCTGTGCTTAATTCATAACTGGCAGCCATCTACTGTCCTTTATGCAATAAATTCCCATTGCTCTTAGGAATTTTGCTAATGGACAAGAACAGTGTATTATTTCTATCAAGGTGTACCATCTGCCAGTGTACTCCATTAATTAATGTTTAATTAATTGGTGGCATCAGCTTGGTTCTACTCAGGTGGGGGGGATATGCTATCAACATTAAAAACTAACCCCAAATTAGCAAGTTGTTTTAGTTCCACTGTTTAATATGTGCAGATTTTCTGGAAATTTAGAACACTTTGAATATTTTTTTCATTTTTTTAAAAAAAGGAACATTACACGGTTAGTCTAATTTTGTCCTCTTGCAACTGGTGGACAGTCTGCCATTGATTTCTGGATAGAAAGCATTAGAAAGCATTGGGTAGTGGCATTAGAGTGGCACCATAGAATGGCATTACCATTATTAGAGAATGATCCTATTTTTCCCTTTTAAAGTGCATCTTTGACCTTTTGAATTATATTTAAATATAATATATTTATTTATTAAACTAAATTATTATTTGTTATTATGGGTCAGCCACCTAGAGATACACTATATTTACACACCATTCAAAAGAGACAATAAAAAAGCTAAGAAGGAAACAAAAAGACCAGAACACATCCTCTCCATCA